AGTTCCTAGTAGATAATAGGGATTCCTTAAAGAGTAGCTGTTAACAGTAATGGTGTAGGTTTGTTGGTAACCAAAGCAATGGTGTCTTCAGTGGTAAGTGGTAAGTGATATTGTAGCTAAGAAAGACAAAAAACAGATTGTGTTGGGTTGAGAAGTGAAATGTTGGGCAAGTTTTTCTTCCCTCCCGAAAGCTTTGCCTCTATGGGAAGGAAGAGGTTATGGAGTAATTTTGTTGTTAAAAGGCATCCACCTATTGAGAAAACAATCTAAGTGGAGAAATAGGGCAGAGGCTGAGTTTAAAGTAGCTTAGCATGAGTAGGATATGTAGAAGATGGTACAGTGAATATAGAGTTCAGAAAATTTTGAAAGTAAAAGAGATGTCAGATCCATGGTCTTTATTATTTTGATTTTTTATTTATTTTTATTTTTTTATTTAAAAAAAAATTTTTTTTTTTTCAACATTTATTTATTTTTGGGACAGAGAGAGACAGAGCATGAACGGGGGAGGGGCAGAGAGAGAGGGAGACACAGAATCGGAAACAGGCTCCAGGCTCTGAGCCATCAGCCCAGAGCCCGACGCGGGGCTTGAACTCACGGACCGCGAGATCGTGACCTGGCTGAAGTCGGACGCTTAACCGACTGTGCCACCCAGGCGCCCCATATTATTTTGATTTTTTAAAGGAATCATATAAATTTAAACATTAGAGACCAGAATTTATATACATTTAACAATGGAAATTCTCCTGAAGATATATCCCTTATGTCTCACAGAACTACATTTAGTAATCACTTATAAAGAGCCTTATTCACCCCCAATTTAAAAATCTCCACATTTACATATGTGAATCATTCAAAAGCTTTTTCTTGACACTTTTTCTTATGAGGCTTAGAACTGGACACAGTGTTCAGAAAACCTTTGACCAGTGCTAGGGAAAATATGAGGATCATCTTTGTAGTTTTGCCAACACTCTTTAAAGAAATTTGAAACCCAGAGTAGATAAAAGACTTTTTATCTACATAAGGAACTGGTGGTATCACTAGGATGAAAATCCAGGTCTCCTAACTATAATATGGTATTCTTCCTATTCCAGCTTAATACCGAAATGAAGACAAAACCCTCTACCTGTAAAGAATCAGTATTTAAAAATCTGATAAATCAAGAGAATTATTTGATTTCTAGAACTTTTATCTCAAGAATTATCGATAATATGCTAGAGTTATAGATTTAAGTTTTTGCATAAGTTGTGAATTTACACATTTAAGTCCGTTCACAAATAACTTTAGGAAAACACTTAATTTGTACATTAATGTCTACATTTTATTTTTATTATGGCTTTAGAAGTTGTAGGTTGCTTAGTTTTTGATTTATTGTAATCTCTGGAAAGTTTAGATGAATACTACTAATAGTTATTGTTTATTAAGTACTTATTAAGTACTTGTGCTTTGGTTAAGCCCTTTGTGTTGCTTGTCTCATTTAATCTTTACAACAACCATAAGAAGTTAAGTATTCCTATTATGAGGAAGCTGAACTGAAAGTTGTCATCAACTTGGAAAAGGTTGCATGCACATCTAATAAACAGGGTAGAGCTGAAACTTAAATCCACACAGCTTGATCCCGGTGTCTGGTTTTTGTGTTTTTTTTTGTTTGTTTGTTTTTGTTTTTTTTTTTTAGTTTCAAGTTTTTATTTAAATTCCACTTAGTTAACATACAGTGTAATATTAGTTTCAGGTATAGGATTTAGTGATTCATCACTTATATATAATACCTAATGCTCATCACAAGTGCCCTCCTTAATATTTATCACCCATTTAACCCATTCCCCTGCCCTCCTCCCCTCCAGCAACCCTCAGTATGTTCTCTATAGATAAGGGTCTGTGTTATTGCTTGCCTCTCTCTTTTTTTCACCCCATCTTCATCTGTTTGTTTTTTAAATTCCATATGTGAGTGAAATCATATGGTATTTGTCTTTCTCTGACTTATTTCTGGCAGTCTATGTTTTTTAACAACTCTCTTGTTTTTTCATTATTTTAAAATTTGTTTATTGTAATGTACTGGTTTTTAATCTCATTCAGATTCTATTTGTTTCATTGGGAATTTAAAAATATAGACATGTACTCATTCTTGTTGAATGTGATTTTTATTGAATCAGTGACTGATCACAGATAAGGATGTTGAAACATCTTGTAGTGAAGACTTGAATTTATGAAACACTCTTTATGATACTTTGCCAGAATGATGTGAAATGGTTGGTAAATATTTTGGGGGGATGGTATTTTACATTTAAATGCAGGAAATGTTGAATATAACAATATAATACTTAGTTGAATACCATAAACATTTTAGAGAAATTATAATACAAAGCATTTGTGAATGGCAGGTGACTAAAAGTAGATAAATCTTAGACGTTTTAAATTGAGACTACCAGAATATTTCATAACACCTTACCAACTATAGATTGGATGTTGTACTACTAGGTACTTTCGCCTATTGATATTCTAATTCTTTGTTACTTGCTTTTCCTTTGAAAACAATGACACTATGTTTTCTCCCTTTCCTGACTCTCTTATATCATTTTTCTCCCTTTTCTGCCTAAATTTAGATTTAGAAATTATTAAGCCATGGAATGGCTTTCATGGAATGCTACACATGGTCTCTTTCATGGAATGCTACACATGGTGTCCTTTGTTAACTAGCTAGTTACAGACCTCATCTTTCAGTCCTACATGGCTGATGTTAAAAGGGTACTTTAGTTAAGTGCTCCAGGGTAGATGCGCATTCAGAGGAAGCAGTTTCAAATCTTAATAGCTACTTTTAATATAGTCTAATACATGTTAAACTTTTATTTATCTGGAAGGAAAATGTCTTTTTTTGAGTTATGGTTTACCTGAAAATTGGCTGAAAAATGATTTGCAGTACCTGATACCTTGTTTTTTAAAATCAATTCAAATGACCAAATCTTAATATAATTTCACTGATCTTAGTACCTTTTGTGTGTGTGTGTGTGTTTTTTTGTTTTTTTTTTTTTAAGTAGACTCTATACCCAACCTGGGGCTTGAACTCATGACCCTGAGATCAAGCGTTGCATGCTCTACTGACTGAGCATGCATGAGTAAAAGATAATTAGGTAACCAGCTAATTTGCAAGAGATATTAGGATACAATTAGTCCAGGTAAAATCTGAAAATTTCTAAACTGCATGGAAAATCACCAAATACAAAGACAGTTCCATTTCTATAATGATGATCTGCTTGTAATTTATTATTTCAGTGGCTAGGTTAGAGACTAAATTAAGAGCCAGAAGAAAATTAGTTGGTCTCAGTAATAACACCCTAACTGGTCATTTGAAAATACTTTGTGTGAAAACACTGTCATCTGAAATATTATGGATGTATTCAGTAAATGTGAGCTATCAATACAGACATTATCTTATTTAATCCTTATTACAGTTCTATGAGTTAATATTATTATCCTGAATTTACAGATGAAGAAAAGAGGTTTAGTGAAGTTATCCCATCTAAGGTCTTGTAAAGCTGTAGGATTCTAACCAGACTTTTCTGATTACAGGGCCCAGGTTCTTAGCTGGTAGACTAGATTGTAGTAAACTGAAATCTGATGCTAGAGCTATACTTTTAGTGGCAGTGAACTTTTAATGAAAATCTTTAACTGCCAAACAGAGTCCAAACTTAAAATATTTTGCTTCTGGAAGTATGCATTTTTACCAGTCATGCCAATTGGAACTTAACTTCTTTAGTTTCAGCCTACTGTTTAAGGATTTGTGATAATTTAAGGTGATATGTAGAATTAAAAAGCGATAAGCACTTCTTTACTTGAGATCTTACCATTGACATTCAAGTAAGATATGGTGGGAAGGGGAAATGATAGAAGTGAAATGTTATGGAGTAGGGAATTATGAAACTTTCTGTAAAGGGCCAGATAGTAAATATAGTAAATGGCTCTGACAGTCATATGATCTCTTCTCAGCTCTTCTAAAGCAGCTATAGGCAATATGTAAACAAAAAAGAGTGTTGTCATGTTTTAATAAAACTATAAAAAGGGGCAGGAGCCTGGATATGGCACATTTACCAACCCCTAATACAGAAAATCTTGTAATTTCTGCAACTAAAAGATGAGATTTATTTAGATTTATTTGTGATGATACTGTTTATGCAGAGTGGAAGTTTTCCTTTATTGAATGTATTGACAAAAAAAATTACCAAAAGGATGTTAATAATATAAGGAGAGTGGGAATGGTACCTAATAGTAAAGAATACTTTTTCAGCATTTCTGTAACTACTTAGATTAAGTACCTCATAAATTATTTGATGATTCTAGAATATACTTCATTCATTCGTTTCTTAGTTATCTTTTTTCTTATCTTGAAAAAAATCTGCCATTTTCATTAGAGTTTTCACTAATTTTTTTTTTTTTTAATTTTTTTTTTCAACGTTTATTTATTTTTGGGACAGAGAGAGACAGAGCATGAACGGGGGAGGGGCAGAGAGAGAGGGAGACACAGAATCGGAAACAGGCTCCAGGCTCTGAGCCATCAGCCCAGGGCCTGATGCGGGGCTCGAACCCATGGACCGTGAGATCGTGACCTGGCTGAAGTCGGACGCTTAACCGACTGCGCCACCCAGGCGCCCCGAGTTTTCACTAATTTTAATAAACTTTCTTTCCTTCATCATAAATTAGGATTACTGTAAAAAGACATGACACATAATTGGGGATGGTTTTATTTTCAATGAATTTATTTTGAAAAGTGATACCTGTGATAGATTGAGGCTTTTTGTGTAAACATATACAGTTGGAAGTATAGGATCAGAAATGGAGTACTCTGTTATAGTCAGTTTTCAATGTACATTTTATAGATTTCTTATTATAAGAAGTCTCGACCCTAGAGATGCTTTCTGGTGCCACAAAACTTCATTAAACGTGTCATTTGTGGTATTGGCTAATACAGATATTAAATTGAAAATACACTTTTTAATTCTTATTCTCAGAGATTCGTCAGCGAACTGCAGCTCAGAGAAACCTTTCTCCAACACCAGCAAGCTCTAGCCAGGGCCCTTCTCCACAAGTTCCAGTATCTCCTGGACCACCAAAGGACAGTTCAGCCCCTGGTGGACCCCCAGAAAGAACTGTTACTCCAGCCCTATCATCAAATGTGTTACCAAGACGTCTTGGATCCCCTGCTACTTCAGTGCCTGGAATGGGTAAACAGAGCACTTAATGTTATTTACAGTTTATATTGTTTTCTCTGGTTACCAATAAAACGGGCCATTTTCAGGCAGTATGGAAATGGCATTTCATTTGGAAATAGCAGAGCAGTTATCTGATTAAGCAGGAGTTCCATATTCAATTAGCCATAACTCTTTACAGCTGGCACCTTGTGATACTGAAACCTATTTCTTGAGCTCATTTAACTGTTATGGCTTCTTTGTTTAAATGGCAATAAAACTTTGTAGTATTCTGTAGTCAACAGTATAGCATATCTTTTTATATTCAGATTTAGAATGGCTCCAGATTTATATAAAATGGGGATAGAAGAGAACACTTTTGGAATATATTCATGTTTTTTGCTGAACTCTTCACATACATTTTTAAGCATGACAACATATTCCAGGAAGACTATTTCTGCATTGTAGTCTACAGTACTATTATTGTTACTATGGGCTGGTAGATTTTTCTTTTATTAAGCCAAAGAACCTTAGTATTTTCTGACAGATACTTGAGCATAAAGTTCTATTAAATTAACATACTGCCTTTACTATTTCATTTCTTTGGATTTTCTTTGTTCAGTGTGGTAGAGCTCTAGGGGAATACCCCATTTTTGAAGTGTAATAGATTATATTACCCTGATTATTATTTCTTTTGGAATGTGATGGTACATGGAAATCTACTGCTTCAGGAGATTACATTATTTTATATAAATTTCCGTGTCAGATTCTTGAATATGGTAGTAAATGATTTATCTTGTCTTTATTTATTTATTAAAGTTTATTTATTTTGAGAGAGAGAGAGAGAGAGAGAGAGTGCATACACACACGGGGCAGAGAGAGGGAGGGAGAGGATCTCAAGCAGTCTCCATGCTGTCAGCACAGAGCTGGATTTGGGGCTCAGTCTAAACCGTGAGATCATGACCTGAGCTGAAATCAGGAGTTGGACGTTTAACTGAGTGAGCTACCCAGGGCCCCTATTTATCTTATTTTAGGATATTTAATTCTAATTTAGATGATTTTGTTATTTCATGAGTAACTACTAACCTATAATTTATAATGATTTTGAGGCTAGTGAGTAGTTGATATCAAGTATACAGGGCACTTATATAATAAAAGCAATCTAAATGTTGCTATGACAGTAGAGTTTTTTCCTGCTTTGCGTTAAAAAAAAAAAAAGCATAAGATTTTAGAAAACTGTTAATTTATAAACAAATTAAGAAAGCTGGCTGCAAATGAAATGTATATAAGTCATAACTTTAGTTACTGAAAAAATACTTTCAAATTTGACATATAATGATGCCACTTAAGGCAGCCATGTATTTTGTGAAATTTAGAAAAATTAAGTTGATTGAAAATTATTTATCTTTCTGTTATTATCTGATTGATTTGAAATACACAAGATTTGTAAAGTTCTTAGTTACTGAAAAGTTATGAAAGAACTTTTTCTTGTCTGAGAATGCATGAATTATATACATTTGTGTATCTAATTAGTTTTAAGGAAATAAGTGTATTTATTTATTTTGAGAGAGAGAGAGAGAGAGAGAGGGAGAAACCTGTATAAAGTAATAAAAACTGTATTGCATGTATAAGAATAGGGTTATAGAGGGGAAATGGCCTAAATTTCACGATCATGTAAATAAAGCATATTTTACTAATGTTCTTGATTTGTTTTCCATGTAGAAGAGTATTTAAGTTGTACATTGCCAAAAATATGAATGAGTTAAATGATTTCTTATAGAGAAGATTAATAATTCATTTTTTCATTATGCCATATTTGTGGAAGAGAATCAATCTAATGTGTATTACCACAGGGCTCCCATATGTTTGAAAATTAATAACCAGCAGGTACTTGATAATTTGCCAGGCTGTGTAAAAATGACCAGTATTCCTACAATGATTGCTTTTGATGTTTGTATTAATTACCGTTATCCATAACAGCATAAATGTGAAGATGTGTTATTTTAAAAGTCATCAGTATGCACAGCATTTAAGATATTTCTTATGAAATCTGTTGTTTTATGTATCCAGATTCCTTTATGGACATTTTCATTTTAAACATGTAGAAGTAAAATATTCCAGCAAAAGGTAATTTGACTTGAAGGCTTTCAAGATATAATTTGGCATACTTATTCTAGTTGAAAACTTGATAATGAGTGTGCATTATCTAAGTGTTTGCATCCAGGTTTACTTTTTGATGATAACAATTGAATGTTAATACAAGTAAACTAATATCTGATGAAATCTGAAAAAATGTTCTTGATTTGTTATATTAAGAACTTATTCTACAACTTAAATTTCACTTGTTAATTGCTACAATTTTGACATCATTTGCCCTTTTTTAGATGGCAACAGCCTTTAGGTTTGTGGTGATTTACGAAGCAAATCTCTTTTATTATCCTTTAAAACATTAATATAGTATTGTTACTCTTAAGCTTTGGTTTTTATCAGAATCATTTTGAAAACCTTGTATCCTTGTATTGCAAGGCTTATTCCAGCAACGTCTCATTTTGTTGCAAAGTCTTCTGTGAGGTCTTCATGTAAACCTTCATTGCTGCCCATCTTATTTTTGTGTTCATCCTGCCTTGCTTTACAAAGGCAAACATCACTTATTTTATTCTCTCACTTTCTTCTTAGTGCTGCCTTCTGTGTTGTCTCTCAGTTCAGAGTATCTCCTACAAACAGTTCTCTTTCAGCTTTCAAAGTTTGTGGAGTTACAGTTCATAGCTCTTCATTTTTGTTGTTGATGTGTTTATGTGATGTAAATCACTAATTAAAACTAGGTTATTGGGGCGCCTAGGTGGCTTAGTTGGTTGAGCATCCGACTCTTGATTTTGGCTCAGGTCATGATCCCAGTGTCGTGGGATTGAGCTCCACATCAGGCTGTGTGCTGAGCATGGAGCCTACTTAAGATTCTCTCCCTGCATCTGTACCCTGCTTGC